GGTTCCAAAAATCTAGAGAAGAAAATGTGCACACACATAGATGCGTTTCAGCGATCAACGTCTTCTCCTCTCACATCTTTTCCTCTCAGGCGTCAATGCATACTTGTTCGTATGGGACCACATCCTAAATCTTAATTTTTGGGAAAATTACATATATATAATCTTCGAACCATGATATTTGTACCAATTAAATTCCTGAATTTTTTTTTTTTTTGGTTTCAATTAAGTTTTTCAATTCTCTAAAATTGTGACAATTGAGTCCTTCTGTGTCGCTTTCGTCAGAGTTTTTAACGAAAAATAGTAAAATGTGTTACTTACGTGACACAAATTGTAGGAGTAAACTAAATATATGGTCTTCAAATTTTGATCTTTCTGTCAGATAAGCTCATGACATTTCGCAACCTTAGTACTATTCTCGACCAAATATTTAAATAAAAAATTGCTAACAAAATGATATGACTAACTCATACCGATCAAACATTTATTGGAAGTGTATGTGTGTGTCAAATCATTTGTAAATTACGTTTGGCACAAAAAAATTGATCAACCTAGCTAAGGTCGGGACCGCAGACCACTATTTATACACCAGCCTAAGCTTGGATTTATCAATGGAATATATAGGATAGGATGTGTTTTTATCATGGGCCTGTGCACTTTTTCGTTTATTAAAGGCCATTGTGGTCCGCATTGGGTAATCGTCCCCATCAAAGCACCCAAAATCCATGGCTATAGTTCATTGATTGAGCTATCTTCGGCCATTAATGGACCGCCTTTGCATGGACCACCACTGTTTCAACGAAGAGTCTGTCCAAACTATGCCATGGGGACCAAATTGGGAAAATAGGAGGAATTTCCTTATGTGCCATTCACAAGAGTGACTGACATGGATGCATGAGCCAAGTGGTCCATCATTTGATAGCTGCATGCATTTCATGGATTGTGATTCCCATAGCCAGAGGGTTTTCCTTTGGACCATCTTTGAGGAAACAATGCCCTCTATTGCAACTAGATAATTTCTTATGGCCTTTTATGGATTTTTTTTTTCATATTCAATATTCAATTTATGAGGGTTTTTTTTTAGAAAGTCAATGATTTTGGTCGATCTATATCTTCTTCGATACACTTTGTTTGCTTCAACGTTAGATCTCACACTTAATAAACACAAGTAGAACACATAGTAATGATCGAATTTTTTGTCAGTACATAATAGATGATCTACCATTAAGGACAATTGATAAAAATAGATTAAAAAATATTTAGATCCAATATTAGGATTATGTTTTGTGCGTGTGAAGATGTAGTGACTTAATTAGAACGAATATAGGAGAAACTAATAATTTTTCAATTACTGTAGTTTTTCATTAGGGTTCTATTTTGAGTCCACATCTTTCTGCGTTGATTATGAATAAATTGACTAGACACATTCAAGAAAAACTCCCACAGCAGATGATATATGTTGTATTAGTTGATAAAAATAAAGAATGAAGTAATAATAAACTAGAAATATAGCAAAAAGCTCTAGATTCAAAAAGATTTGAGATAAATAGGTCTAAAGCTGAATATATGAAATGTAACTTTAGTAAAAAAAAGAATCACAACAAAAAAGTTAGTAAAAATTAAAGATCTAGTGATATCGAAGAGCGAACACTATAAATGTTTAGAATTTATTATTTATAAAACGTGTGAGATTAGTAACGATATTACCTATGGAATAAGTACAAATGAATTAAATGAAAAAATGCCTCCGGTATCCTCGATTAAAATTAACTTTAAATGAAATTGTAACATAATATATGATAACTTATGGTTTAATAAATAATAATAAAAAAAACCCTTAATAGAGTATAATGTGAAACAGGATTCATGTAGTCGACCTCAAAATAATTAGAACAAAATTTTGTTGAGTTGAGCTTTGTGCGTATGCACATAAAAATATATTTGTACACTTACACTTGTAATTTTGACATTGGATAGTGCTAGCATATGTTATTCAAGACCCGTTACATTAAAGCCTTATCCCAACTAAATGAAGAGTGACCCTTATCAGCATACAAGGTAAACATAGGCCACTCAACAGAATAAAATTCAAGAAAAAATTCACAATTTGAGAGGAAAGACTAATCAATAAAATTCTAAAGATCATAGTCATATATATATCATCAACAGTAATGTTACACTGATCAATAGTTTCATCTAACAAACCCTAACATAGAAACTCACATAATGTGAATAATACTAAATTGACTTAACCTATTTTCCAATTCTCAAGTTTCCAACCATCAATGGATACTAATAACATAAATAAATAAAGACAAACAAATTTCCTATACTTAAAATATGCTATCAATTCCGTTCCTAAAATATGTCCAAAACTCATCACCAAACTCCTCGGTAGTTGCAGCCATCGAGCTTTTGATTTACATGATCGGAGGTATTTGCAAAATCCGAACCAGCGGCTGATAGGGCTTCAGCTCCAGCAAAGTCATCAATCGGCAATGGAGTTTTGTAGTCGTGAAACCCTAGTTCAATAGGAACTTCATTAGACGTTGAAGGTACTAGGGCCTCCATTGGGAAAAGACTCAATTGAGTGGAGTTAAGTTGAGAGCTTGAGGATTCCATGTTGTTCAACTTAGAACTTCTCCAACCCTTCCATAAACCATGCATAATTCTGCAGCCTTACTGTATAGACCATTACGTCTCTTGGAAAACGTAACATACCTCTGGCTTACATCCTTGAGTTTTAGCTATTTTGATCTTCCTCCTGCCCATCAGTACTCAAATTGCATTAATGAAGACTATATCTAAGAAAATTTATCGATGATTGAGATAAAGAGTTCATCAGTAATCATGTTGATTTATTCTTGGCATTTATAATTATCCACCTGCCCCCTTGGTATTTTGAAATTTATACAAATAGCCCTCGACTTTTGAAAGTTGTAGCAACAAAACCTTTTTTGGCATCGGAAAAATTCGGCATCAATGTTAAAAATAATATGATGTATTTCGCCACTACCCTCTTTTTGAGTTTTATGATTTTGATATCTTTTCAAGGTTGAATAAGCCATTAAGGTCTCTGAATTTTTTTTGAGACATCAGGGAATGGCAGGTTAATATCGAATACAAATTCGATATATTATATCCCACGGATTTGAATTTTGATATACCTATATCGATTCGATCCGAATTATTTATATATATTTATTTAAATAATACATAAATTAAGTGATTATTTTAAAAAAAAATAGTTCAAATTTAGGTATAATTTGTGAAAATTTAATTAATGAAGTTATTTAGATCGGCCCAAATTTCATATTGTATGGACCAAAAAAATAAAATTCATCGAATTATGAGATTGAATTTGAAACGACTTTTGAAATCGGATTTAAATCAGTTAGAATTCAAAATCCGTTGATCGGCATAGTTGAATTTGAATGAAAGAAGGGTAAATTGTAAAGGGTACACCAAATTAAATTTATTTGACAAAAAGTACACACTAAAAAATGTAAAGTTATTAAATATTTAATTTTGATACTTATTTGTATCCAAGTACATAATTTGAATTTATATTTTTTTATTGTGACATTTTTACCCTCTATTAATCCATGTGTATTTAATGCACAACTTTTTTTTTTGGAAAATGGTGCATTAAACATAAGTATCCAAGTACATAATTTGAATTTATCTTTTTTTATTGTGACATTTTTGTCCTCTATTAATCCATGTGTATTTAATGCACCATTTTTTTTTAGAAAATGGTGCATTAAACATCTTCTACTTTATGGGAGAACTTTAATACATATATACATGAATACAAATTTTGAAATTCAAACTAGTTTATATATATATACACGTGTTTATATATACATAAATACACACACACACACACATACATATATATATATACTTATGTATGTATGTATGTATGTATGTATGTATATACTTATTATTAAATATCTTATCTAAATTTTGAATTATCTTTTAATGCACCTTGATTCGTGCAATTTTTTTTTAGAAAGTGGTTTTATTTTTAAATTAATTTAATATCCAAATAGTGTAATAGTGTAACAATAAAAGCGTAATGGTGTAACACTAATAATGTAATAGTATAACAATAATAGTGTAACAAGTTATTTACACAAAATATTGTACTATTACATTTTGTCAAACATATAATTTCATATGATTTTATTGAAAATAGTCATATCCGTTTTGAATTTGTTACCATATATACAAAATTACTGAACACTGTTTTTGTTACACTGTTATTGTTATATTATTACATTATTTGGATATTAAATTAATTTAAAAATAAAGTTATTTTCCAAAAAAAAAAACGCTTGAATCAATGTGCATTAAATATAATTTGAAAACAAAATCACTTTTAAAAAAAAAATACGTATGAATCAAAGTGTATTAAAGATAATTCAAAATTAAAATAAGAGATTTAACAACAAATATATATATATATATATATATATATGTGTGTGTGTGTGTGTGTGTGTGTGTGTGTGTGTGTATATATATATATACACTTATATTCATGTGTATTTGTTAATATTATATATATATTCGTATATACGTGTATATAAACAAGTATACACGTATATATATTTACATGTATTAACAAATGCACATGAATCAAATGTACATTAAATACATATTTATATGTATTAACAAACACACATGAATCAAGGTGTATTAAAGATAAAAGATTTTAAATTAAATGACCATAAAATGGATATATATGTCTTTTTAATTCACATTTTATTCTATGTATTTTTTGTCAAATAAGTATTAGGTGTATCAACTTTCAAAGAACCAAATAAAAGATGAAACGGATTGAACATGAGTTCAAGTAAAACACCTTTAGCCCGCATTAATTTGGCCCAATGAGAACTCACACCGGACCAAACAACCCTAATAAAAACCTAAACCGGCCCAAACCAATGTCTCGCCGTCCTCGTGTTTATATTTCATTCGGATGAACCCTAATCCGAAGTGGCGACGTCTTGGTTTATTCTTTCCTTCTGCGGCGTTTGAAATATTTTTCTCTCTCACACGCACACACATATCGATCGATTTTCGGAGTATCAGTTGCCGGTGATGAGAAATATTGGCATGAGCTGCAACAACTAATTTGCGCACCCATGGTTTCTAACCCATGGGGTTGTTGATGCGAGGAAGAATGTGTCAATATGCTAATCTGAGGCATTTAATAATCTCTTTTGGCAAATATACAGATTTGGATAAACATTTTTTTATGTGGGTTTTGATTTGATTCGAATTTGTTCCATGTGGGTTGTAGGATCTTATAAAACATTTTCAGACTTGTTGAAACCCTAAATATTTTTCCCTTTTGATGGACTTATCACTTACCCAAAACAAAATAATGAACTTTTCACTATGAATCTTTTTGATGAATTTGCATTTGTTCCGTTTACTGCAGATATTCTTGGCTTTTCTTTCAAAGAAAGATGATATAAATGCAGAATTTTGTTTCCCTGCGAGTTACTAATTTTGGAGAATGACCACTACTCGGCTCACTTTGGTTACAGAGACTTTCTCCTTAGGCGCATCTCTTACCAACACAAAACGAGGGTTTTGCTTGATACTGGATTTGCCCAAACATTAATTTGCCAAAATGCTGACAAGAAAACTCTGATTACTTATGGATAACACCAATGATACCGAAAAAAGGCTATTAATTTAGTATTTGAATTTATATGACCTCGTAATCAAACAAATAAGACCCAAGTTTATTTTTTGCGATGCATTTGAATATGCTATGATTTAATTGTTGTGTTGTTGATTTGATTACCCAATTTCATACCTTCCTGGTTGTGTTGTTCATTGTCTAGAGGTTGAAGAACTTGTTTATTACTGTTAAGTGTTTCCCAGAAAGAGAAAAAAAAAAAAAAGCAGACCTCTTTTTATATAGTAGAGTTGTATGTAGGCAAATGACTCTTTTCTATTCGTTATTTATTTTTATAACCAAACAAAATGCAGATGGTCAAACTGATGAATGCTGTGCTTTGATTGTTTGGTTGAAAAGAGAACTGTACCTTTTTTGGTTGAATGGTAGCTTTTAAGTTGTTTTCTGCATTCATATGTTAGGTGAAGAAGATAAATACAAGGACTAAAGCTCCAAGGCTAAGGAAATGTCTACGTTCACATAAAATCATCTTTATATATCAGAGGCCAAGCACCAGGTTTTTAAGCTTATTGTGATTCCAAACAAGCTGAGGCTTGAAAATTTCTTGTTGTTTTCTCACTTCGCCGTGGTGGTAGAAGCTAACGATGGGGCGGGACGGACCGGGAAGACTTGGGGGCCCAGGTTGGGGACCTTGGGGCCCGAAACCGCCGGGTTGGGGCCCTGAACATGGTCATCATTCTGGGGGTTTTTTAGGAGGGTGTTGTGAGGGTATATGCCACATGATATGTGCTTGGTAGGTACATCTTTCTCCTTACAATGTATTTTCATTATTTTTTTTCCTTAACTCGTACTTATTTTTTGACAATATTGATAAATTCTCCTCTGTTTACATTCTGCGAATGAAAACTCTGTTGAATGCAAGTTATTATAGCTGGGTTCAGTTTGTCTGATCATGGGAAAACTTGTTGGAGCCTAATTGTTTTGGAATTGCAGCTTATCCTGCCTCTGCTGCTGCGGGTTGCTGCAAGATTGTTTCGGCGGCGAACGTCGTCACCCTCACCCTCACGGTGGCCCACGTCGTTTCTGATCAGTCGGGGCAGAAATATAATGCAGTAACAGTGGCGATTTTGGCTTATTATCGATGCATATTATATATGTTAACACAATGATGAATTCTGGAGGTTTTAATTGCTTAGTTTCCAGTTATATTTAGAGTGCATGTTTTTGTCCTTCTGCTGGATGGTCAAATAAGGGAAAAGGGTAAATCTTCTTTTCTCTTTGTAAACCTTCAGATTATGACAATTTGGTTTTGTTGGAATTTTATAAAAGACTTATTACTAATATGGGCATGAGGCTTATTATTAATAATATGGGCATGGTTATGAGTGCTCTCTCTCTCTCTCTCTCTCTCTCTCTCTCTAATCTTGCAAGCACATTATTGATATTACATTTGGTGTCAATTGGACCTGTAGTGGCATCTGAATTTTCTATTGGGCCAATTTGCACAAAAGAGGTATATATTTTGATCCCAATTGTTCTTCCACCATGATGTCCATATAATGTGACAATCTCTCTTGGAAGTTAGAAAGCACAAGACAGGACTCCCATGTACCCAATTTTATCCCACGTGCGAAGACTCCGACTCATACCCACGCACCCAAGTCACATTGTGTCCTCTATAACCGGTTGAATTCTTAGGGCTACTTGTGCACACAAGATTTTACTGTATCTTTTTGGTAACTCACTACGCTAAAACTTTAGGAGTGACAAATAAGTCTCAAAGGGAGGAAAATATAGGATTAAATAAGCAAGCACAGGCATGTTATGTTTCATGCCTCTTGTATCAAGCATTAGAGCACACCAATAACTTATTACAGAAGATAAGATATCTGAAAGGATCTGCACTGTGTCTAAATGTCCGCCACACTGAGCTTACATGATAACATTATTGCATAAGCTACATTTAAATAACCAAAGCCGCCTCCTACTGGAAATCCTCCCCTACAGAAACAGAATAATAACACAATTTGCACACAATTCGGTTTCTTGCACACAATGGCCCAAGGCAACAAGTATGTTATAAGATGCCTAAGAGCAAAATCAAACAGCCTGGAGATATTAAGCTAATGATACGACCCGCTCTTAGCTACAGGGATAAGAGGGGGGGGGGGGGAAAGTGAGGGAGGAGAAGGCTACAAAGTGAAAAACAAGGACAGCTTGAAAGAGAGACAGACAGAGACAACTAACCACTCAGATAGCAATTAAAGGAAGCATATATCCAAAAGCAGTGTTGGCACTGTACACACGTGTCACAAGGCTGCAATGCAACTTTGGATTGCATCTAGCAAAGCCTGCCACATTCAATCCAAGTTTAATAGCCTGAAAATCGAAAATAGTATAGGGTTTGCGAAGAAACTAAAAAGAAAGTTTGAATTCCTTAATAGCCTATGATGACAGCTATGGCTTCAAATAGAATTTTACAAATGTATCTAGAAAGGCATTAAACAGATGAGAATGGCAGCATCAAGTGACCAACAAGAACCTTGAAAATTCAGGAATTTGGATGATGGTTACAACCACATGATACTCATTCTATGGTCATACAGTTTCAGACTGGAGAGATGAATTATGTCACGGTTTGCCAGAAAAGTTGAGCACGAAGAAATATGTGGTTTCTATTTATTTTCACAATTCAAACCATACAAGAAGCAGTACTATAAGTGACGAATTCTATTGATGAATTTCAACTGTTGTCTGCAAGAACATTGATGGGGCTAGCGGCAGGCACCTGTTTGCAAGTCATTCACAAGCAATCTTGGTGTCAAAGCTGCTGAGGCAGATGGCAAATGCCTGGAAAGCTGAGATTGGATACTGATAATCCATGGTGAACACATCCTTCCCCACTTTTCCAAACTGGAGAACAACATTTTCATGTTCTTGCCCAGAAACTCCATTATCCAGTGAAGCAACAAGCTGAAAGTTCTTTACTGAAGCAACTGTCACACGTCCATTGAAGTTCAGACACCAACACTGGAGCTGCTCATGCCACCTAGGAGACTTGTTCTTCAGAACCAACATCCCATCCTTCTGGGTGGACAAATTTCCAGATTGAAAAATATCCATTCGAGTAGACTTTGATCTAAAAAATGGAAGAGATATCGAGGATTCTATATTGCTAAGCATGAATTCAGTTTGCGTGGGGGCCACTCCTCCTGGTTCAATAGCAGAAGCAGGGATCGCATCCAAGACACACTGCATCCTCCTTGGACCCCTGTTTTCCATAATATGTGGATTTCATTTAGTATGTGAAAGACATACTGACTGGAGAAAGTTAGCACCTCAATATATGCAATGCAAATGAACAATGATAATTCCTCACAAGCTGGTAGTCAGAGATACCGTTCTCAGGTTTCTCATCTTTCCCACTCAAAAATGGTCAGCCCCAACAAACATTAAAGAAATAATTATTACCGTATCTACTCCTCAAAAGTTGAGGGGGATGTTTCAGGAACTTATCACTCACCTGGAACCCAAGACATTCAGCTCATACGAAATATGAGCTACAGGATAGTTTACAGCAGGAACTCTCTGGGAGACTTGTCTCATGTGCCCTAGCTTAGAGGAATTACATCTAGTAAATTTGACTCCCACATTTGGAGGTTGTGCATCATATATCGTGAACTTGGTTCCCAGAAAGTTAGATCTGTCAGAAAAGAAAATTTAGATGAAAATTTAGCCTGCCAAATGGTCAAGAAGTTAGATATGTCATGCACTAGCCAACTTGCCTCAACTTCCCAACGCAAGTGCTGCTTCCCTTGAACATGTCTTCAGCATTTAGAGAAATTATGTAATCTGTGAAAGCGGGACGTCGACACTTCCGTGCAACCAGAAGGAACTTCCCATCATCATGTGAAGCTGCCAAGAGATCAGATAATAAATAAGTAGGCAAACCAAGTATTTGCCTGCAGCTCAAAAAGAAGACAAGCCCTTCCTTTTCTCCAGATATCCTACATAAGAATTCAGAACATGTATACCGTACTTTCTATCATATTCAAACTAGTATACCACGCTGGTTGTAAGTATGATAAACAATAAGTTTTTAGAAATGGATAACACGAAAAAACAAATTGCACAGCTATACCACCAAAGAAACATGAATATATAGAGACTAAAAATAAATGATTGCATGATCACCTTGATTTAAACCAAGGTAAAGGCGATATGTTTGGGTGCTACGGTTCCGTTTAATAAAACACTGAAGGAGAGAATCCCTTGGACCAGGCTGCAGGAAAAATAATCAGTAATCTTCAGTATGAGCTAGAAAAAATATCAAATACTTTGATGCACTGTAATCCCCCAACCAGAAGATGCCAACGAAAAATATTCAACAAAATTCTTCCACAGAGAGAGAGCCATCAATCGACTTTAAACAGTGAACAATAATTGGGGGCAGTTAAAAGACGGGGAGGTACGTTATTTAAAACATAGGGGCCATAGGGAAAATTTCATTTCATTAGGGGGTGTGGCACTGTGGCTACATAAGTAATTTTTAATAATGCACATTCAAGAGGACCAAAAGGAAAATATTCCACCTCAAGTGGGAATGAAATACCCAGCCTTAGCAAGAATCTCACTCCAAGGAAAGTGAGAGTTTTGCTAGCAATAGTGTTCTAACATAGAGATGAGATAAAATTAGAACCAAAATTCCTATTCAAAACTTAGATTCTTTCCATACAGACATAGCCTTACTTCTTACGTATTCTTCAATTGAAAAGACAATACTTGTCTAAGAAGAGTAGACTCCTGGTTAAAACAGCCCGAAGTCACCCTCTACTTACTTCATGTCCCCCTGTAATTTTCATTTAATTTAATAAAATCACACCCTCGTACTGCTGAGGTTCAACCAAAAAAAAAAAACTTACTTCATGTCCTCATGCCCAACATGGAATGTTTGATGGAGCTCAAAAACAAATGCTTCATCCTAATTGATAATAACCCGTAAAAATTAAGTTGAAGACATAATAAACACAATGGCAGACATCAGCAATTTGCCAGAGGCCAAATAACAGCAACCATAATTGAAAAGCGAAAGGAAATTTAGTCCCAAAAACTTGATACAACGAACCTGTTTCAAGGAGATCGGAAACGTCAAATTGCCAGAAAGCTCCGGGATTTTCACGATTTCCTTCATAATTTCTCTCCAATTCCTACAAACACCAGCACAAGCAACCACATCCTTCCGAGGAGGCCAAGTACACTCGGACGCCTCTATCCTCATCAACACATCTCTCAAGAGCTCAGGAGGCATATTAGCCCAACAACTCTGCTTCAACACATCAACAGCCACCGAAGTATCCTGAACCACTCGGTGCGACCTCGACCTCGACTTCAACCCATAACTAAACTTTAGTTCAAACGGTTTTTTTCTGGAAATGCTCACAAAATCACCCTTCATGTCTTGAATTATACTCTTAAAAGACATTTTCTCACTTACCCATCAAACTGAATTGCATTTATCCCGAAAAGCCCAATTCCTCTAACTTTCTACCAGACCCACATTTACAATGAGCTTCAAATGATATATTGAACCATAAATAGAAGCTAAGAAGGGCTAATCAACAACACCCACAAGTTCTTAAGGTAGAATCATACTTTGACAACAAAAATTGCGAAATAATTACCTCGAATTATTTTCAAACAAGGCCACAACCAAATACAATGTTCCTCCAAATAAGGGATGATACAAAGAACCACACCAGAAAATCGACCAATCTGAGATCCACATCACCATTATTCAACAAAAATCAAAGTGCAAACCAACAAAATCAACATCACGACGACAAGCCATCATGAATCCACAGTTCAGTAGATCTATCCTTCAAGAGATTACAAAACCTATTTCAAATTACAACAGCATCCAACTGATCATTTGTCGAACAAGTCGACATGGCTTGAAAAGTGTAGATCAAATGCTGTTCTGATGTAAGAAAGATTCGATTTTCAGATTAGGAGTTAGAGACCATTTCGATTAAAGAGAAGGAATGTGTAAACAGAGATTAAGGATTGGGGAGTGGTTTGTTGCGATCTGATCGTCAGTTTCTCATTAGGATTGACAGAGAGTGTAGTTAATGGCCTTATCCGATTGGATGTTTGTGTGTAACAACATCTGGTTTCGGGTCCGACTGAGGACAGGCTAGCAGGACCTGGGTCCAGAAATGGACGGCATTGGGCCTGTGGGTCATAACTGGACAGGCTTTTGTCCAGGCCCACTGTTACAGATATGGAGAAGCCTTGTATCTTATCTTATCTTTGTTTAGACAATCATGAACCAAACTAAGAGGCTCTTTTTTTTTTTTTAGAGATTTCCCTAACCTTTCACAAGGTATTCTGTAATTGGGAAATATTATAATAAAAATTTATTTGAGGTCATTCTAGTAATGCAAATTTTAGATACACAGAGGTAGCAAGTGACAATCATGAGCTACAGAAGCGTAGCCAATTTTCTTATTAAGGATATACTTTGGCTTTAGTACAAGAGGACCTCAGGCCCTCTCTCTAGAACTCTAATCTTATCTTCTTCTTGGCATCGTTTTTTGAAAACATGAATCTCTATGATGATTTATGGAGCGTGATGTTCCAAAAACGATATCGTATCACTTACAATAGTGTTATGGGGTCAATCCATGATAGTGCGTGTTGTTGGCCATTGGCATAAATATAATGATGATAAATGGACCTCAATGCAGAGTAGAGTACCCTGTGGTTCATCACTATTGTGCACATTTGCATTTACTTTTCATAAGTGCCTTGAAAGTGTTCTACACATCCTCTAGAAGCATTCTTTCATAGCCTAATAATGTACTGGACCCCTGAATCTAGCTTAAATATAAAAAGGTGGGTATCTTAAGCACCAGGTATGGGTAGTGTTGTGCGTAGGACCAAGTCACCTTCCGTTCCATTTCACGATACCTAATTATGCATTCATCACAAAATCATTCCTACACTTTTTTGATAAACCTTGGAGTCAGTAAATAAACTATCTTCCTAGAAAGTTAGTGCTCTTGCTCTGAATTTGATGTAGTATTAAAATACAAGCTATTAGTCCAATATTAATTACCGCAAAAAAAAAAAAAAAAATTAGTTCAATCTTCTTCGGTCTCTCTCGTCGTATGTTTTAGTTATCATTTCTCATTCTATAGGATCATATGCATTTGCAAAGATTTTGATTCTAGAAATGTATCCATAATTAAAAATTACTCGTGTTTGAAGACACAGTATAACGTGAATGATTTTAAAAAAAATGTTAGTAGTCATTTAATAAGTCTATTTAAAATTGTCAGACACGTTTTACCCAAAAAAATACTCAAAATGCTGCTTCAAAAGCTATGCTTTAAGAATCAAGACAAAATACCAAAAGGAAAGACTGCTGAAAGTAACAAATTTTTTTTTCCTGTAATTTTAGTACACAAATTAGAACAATGTCATACAGGTCAGAAACCTAATACCGCAATAACATAAAATTACAACAATAATTGGAGAGTTTCCCACAAACAATACCTCACACATGACAAAGCTACAAGAAACTTTACACACCAAAAAACTGAATTAACCAAAACCCTAGCAAACCCAAACCCATCACTAAACTTAGAGTCTCAGATACATTCCGAGGAATTGCTGAGGAAGCTGGCAGAGATCCAGATGGTGAAAAGGCCATAAATGGCCCAGGAGCAACCATTGCATCGGGATTCGGAGGGCTGGGGCTTGAAGGAATGATGGGCACTGAGGACTGAGATGGAGAGAGCTCTGAACCACCAGGTGAAGGAAAGAGAGGACTAATGTCCGGAGATAATGTTGGTGGAGACGATAGAGGAGCCTCTGGCAGCACTGCTGGCGCTGCCGAGATGGTAGAGGTTGGCAAATTTAGCTGATAAGATGGACAGGGCATGAATGTCAGAACCAATACCAAGAGTGACCGTATGAAATCCATTAAATGATTGCAAAATCAATGCTGCAGTCAATGTCTTTTTGGCGGGGAGAGAGAGAAGGGGAGGGGGGGGGGGGGGGGGGAGGGGGAGGAGGAGGGGGGGAATGAGGGACTATGAGAGGCCGCATTATTGAAGGATTAAAAGGACTGAGAGAGTAGTTATGGTGGGGACAGAAGGATAGGTGGCCAACGGTGGCTGGCGAGTGTTTCTGATGTACAGGTTGGCAGGTTTGCTAAGTGACAAGATTGATTATTTGAAAATGTTCCGGAGCACATGAAAGATGAATAGGTGCTTGTGTCCTTTTCCCTTGAGGTTGTTGGCTGCAAATTCATCGCCCGTGAAATTCTTTTTGAGTTCTTGGAGCCTATTCTTTTTTTTTTTTGGCTGTCGAAAAAAACAAGTGTGAGAAAAAGAGAGTGCTCAGACAGTATTTTATAGATTTTTATTAATAAGATCATAACATTCTTGATCACGTTTATTATTTCTCTCGGAAGCAAATTTAGTTAAATTAATATAACGGTCAACCATCGAACTTCAATGTAAATTTTAAAACTCGAATTTTCAACTATAAAATAAAAAGTTCGATCGATACCCCCATTAGACCGTCCCACTTAATGGTTATTAGAGCCTATTCTAAATTGCATGTCAGGGAATCCATGAATAAGGGTATTTTTGGCCTTATGCATCTGAATGAAGGGAGCCAGAAAATCAAAGGTTCAGTTGAATTGCACATGGTAGGTACCAACGTCCTGTTTGTGTTTATAGATTTACTGGGTGTCTTCTCTTTTTTTTTTTTCCCTCTTTTACTTGGGTGTGTCATAGGTAGATTAAATAACAACTTTGAAATTCTAATATTTCTTTACTAGTCTTTCCTTATTACTTATGGTTTTAAACTAGATGCTTTATAGGTAGTCAGGGATTTGTAATTGGATTTCCCTTTTATTGATATTGATGTTGTACTTGTTCTGTCTGTCAATTTGGTTTTGAAATTCCACCTATATTATTGAATAACTTGTCTTCCCTTTTTTTTTCTCCTCCCCCCTTCTGGAAAAGGGTTTGGGGGATGACTAGTGTGGAAATCTTGAGCGTAATCATAAAAGTTCGAACTCTTTGAGATAGTCTTCAAGAAGGGCCTAAATGGTGGACTTTGCAAGAACTCCTTATAAAAAATTAGATACATAGCTTGATTTCAAGTCTCACCAAACTGTTAGAAGCAAGTCAACAGTCTATTCTCCTCGAATCGAATACTGATAATCATTTATAAGATAACCCTTACGAGGGACGTTATCTTGCCACTAAATCACCAAACTCGATAGTGAATTATTTTGTCTTCGTAATCTGGACTTTCTATTAAAATTGTTGCACATTTTGTTTTTCGAAAAATCATAACCCCCGTTATCCCTAAAAAAATAAAAATAAATAAAAGGCAAGCCCATGAGGAGGCAAAGAGTTTTAAAAATTTTGGGCTAGGAGGGTCGAACTTGTCCCAACCCAATGGCACACTTGTAATGAAAGAATTGAAGCCCGTTAATAATTTTCAATTTCTGAGATTTCGCTACAACTTAATAATAATTTTTGAGTAATGCTATGTACATCAAATATATATATCAAAAATTACACTAAATCACTAGCAATCGTTAGATCAGTGGGCCCTATTAGTGATCCAAAGACTACAGTTAATTTGGTGTAAATTTTGATACACAAATTTGGTACACATAGAATTATCTATAATTTTTCTATGGACTTTTTAAAAATTATTGAATGTAGCTTAACAAGAAAATTTTGAGTCATGGGTACAGTACAAAACTTGCTATTTAGACCAAATTTGTTAATTTAATAACGTGATTTTAATAAAATTATTGAATTAATACCAAATTTAAATACTTGATGGGCATACATTCGATCCAAAAGTTTTAAAGAATTAGATCAAAATATGTGACGCGTTAAAAGAACGGGCAAGTGTCCTGCATTGGCCCAACTTGTTAGGGATCAGGGTTAGGCAGGGCATCATGTCTTTTGTTAACAGTAAGCCAGGCGATAGCCCACCTTGATCAGCCTGCCCCCCTTGACCCACTAGATTTTCCGGTTGGACAGCATAGAAAAGACCAACGCCCTGTTTAGCCGGAGTGAAAATTGGGCAAATGGAAAAAATGAGATGGAAATAGGAGGACAAGAAAGGCCAGAAGGGAAAAGTGGGTGGAAAGAAAAAGTAGATGGAAAGATTTTTCTCTAGGCCCACTATTTTTTATCAGGAGTGAAAATTAGGCGAATGGAAAAGTGAGAATAGAAAATGGGAGGCAATAAAGTATTTATTGTTTGGCAATTATGAAAAAATGGGTAGAAAGAAAAAGTAAATGGAAAAAGTTGCCTCTAAGCCCACTATTTTTTATCTGCCCAAATGTGGGTGGAAAATAAGAGAGAATGGTTAACTGTGAAAAAGTTATTACGTTAATTTACATTTATACTCTTATGAATTGCATATTCTTCATCAACTGCCATGTAAGTGCCATTTGTATAAAGACTCAATTAAGTTTTGGATGAAAAATCAATCTTGCGGGAATAATTTTTGGCTATTGGATCACTTATAAATTTTTATAAATGATTTGAAATGTGAACGATATAAATTATTTTTGATGTCTTAAAGGATTTAACTCGTTTGGTTGTCATATTGACAAAAAAAGGGGGGGGGGGTTGAATTAACAACCTTGTATAAATGAATAAAATACTAGATTGAATAGAAGATAAAAATACTTTGTATTCTATCTTACGTATTGTATGACATCGAGTTAAGATCCAGATAACAATTATCTTGTCTAATTTTACATTTGTTTAGTCATGAATCTCGTGGTATTAGTATCACATTGACTAAAATACCAGTAATTTGAACTAATCTAATTTTTTGTACTATTCTTTTACTAGAATTTATATAATCATAAATTTATAGTAAATTCAAACAATCAATAACCAAAAAAATTACTTTACTTGGTTGATGATGGATAAAAGATGAAAAGGATCTCTGCCGAGCGAAGGGGATGAATTTTTGTGGAGAACAAAAGTAGAGATAAGAGAAGAGACATGAAATGATGAAAAGGTTGTTGTGAGGAGTGACATGAAATGTGTGGGTTACACTAGTTTTGGGGATAAAATAGTAAAATAATAACACAATACTGGATTATATTACCATCTTCTAGGTAGTATTAAAATTTACTGGCAAAAAAAAAAAAGGTAGTATTAAAATTTGCTTAATAGCATCAATTGATGGTATTAAAAATATATTATATATCTATATAATAAAATATAATACAATTTAAATCTCAAAAGATAAATAAAATAATTTTTACTTTTTGCGGTCTAGATCATTTTAAATTTTATTTTAAAGTTAATCTGACAGCTAATATTAACTCCTCAAATTTAATAGGAATAATAAATTCCCTAAAGATGTGTTTGAAATGACTTTTCAAAAATGCTTATGTAATGCCCCAATTTTTTCTTCTTTTCGAAGACGTTAATTGATATAAAAAAAACTCAAATAAAAATAACAAAACGCTAATTGTCCCAATAAAATTTTATTTATCAAAATCATCTCCAAATACAAATAAAATTGTCACCATAAATAAATCTCTCAATACAAATAAAACATCAATTATGTCGACATCTTCTCGTATTTAATACTTTGATTATCTCATTCCAATATTTTCTCGAAAATTAACCTGAAAATATTAAATAAAGCGGGAAAGTATACAATATGACGAGAAAAAATATGCTCAAGGACATTAAATACCAAATAATCGAGTATCACAAAGTATCTTAATCAACAAATATAAATATCATATTTGCATATCACATGTCATGCAAAATCTTAACACAGATCCGACACCTCACCAATCATTCCACCTCAACCCGATCTCACGGGTCCCTTGGTTAGTGCTACATCGGCTATTGGCTGTCACGATCCTATCTCAATAGCCGCAGAACACGATCAATAAGATCAAAATATTCAACGATATTCAATCGAAATTCTAAAATAATGATAGCACAAGTTGGAATAAAAATTAGAAGATAATCAAAGAAATACCATCTGCAAAGAGATTTAAGGAGAGCATATTGCATATCACCACGTACCTTAGAATCATTATTTGAATTTGATAACTCAGCTTTCTGTTTCATTCTTCTTACTTGCAGCTATCCCTCTGCTTCCCATTTTTTCTCTTCTTTGTTTCGGCCAGACAATTTCCTCTCTTTGTCTCTCTCTCTCTCTCTCTATTTATTTTTCAAAACCTCCTCCACTTTCTTTTGTTTTTGTTTTGGCTATCTTTATATGCTATGAAGGTGGAAGGTGGGACGCATTCTGTCAAATTAATTGGCAAGTGATAAAACAAATCTTTCCCAAGACTTTTTCTACAATGTATTCAATACTAGCTATAATCCCTTTATTTTATATATTTCTTTATTCTTTTTCTCTCTTTCTTTTTTTTACCTTGTTTTTCTCTTTTCTTTTTTACAAAGCCTTCACGTGGGTGAAGGCCAAAAAATCATAAAAGTTAAGATATTTATACTTTGTTCCCCTTTATTTCACTTATTATATATATCAACCACAAAACTTAAATATTACTTATACTTTCACATCAAAACTCATAATATTTTATACTTAAACTACTTCTAAAAATTTGGGATCTCACAGCGTATAATAAGCATTTAAAAAATAGCGTTTGGAATGGCCCCACCACCACCACCACCACCGTTGCTGTCACCCTACCACCATCGCCTCCACCCAATTCCTACCACCATCACCACTATTGCCACCATTGTCACCATCAACATTACCGTTATCCCTCCATCATCACTAATACCACCACCATCGTTGTCACCCCACCACCATCTTTGTCACAACGACCACCACTTCCATCGCCACTGCCACCACCCATCATTCACCACCATCGTCATCACCCACCACCAATTGCTACCACTGTTGCCCACCATCATCATCTCATTCTTATATTTA